CTGGTCAACCAGCTAAAACCAGCCAACCAGCCTAGGCTGGTTTAAGCTGGATTTTTCAGCAGGGTTCTGAACCTTGAATTCTCTTGTGGAACTATTCCAGACAAATAAAAGTAATGGGTCCAGTGTCGTTTGCTCCAAATTGATCTTTTGCTTTTCACATGAGAGAATCTGTCATGCAGGTGTGAAACCATATGAAGGTAAAGAATAATGGCAGAAAGGTACAATATATGAAATGACATCAGTATGAGGGTTCAATATTCACACATAATGTTCCGTACAGTGAGTTCTTGTTTGATGCACTCAATAGTGGCTTCCAGAGCCCTCGTCCCGCGAGTGGCCTCGTCTTCCACAGCTTTCACAGTTTTCAGCAGAGAGGTCACGTTCGTCACCATGACCTGTAATATCAGAAAACACAGTAAGGTCAAAGTTGAAGCTGCATTTCTTACTCTGAGTACAATGTCTCAAGTGAGCGAGAATGTCAACAGCTTTGTGGCCAGTTTTTCACCTCACGCACTGAAAGAGATCAGAGGCAATGTTACGACAGGAACAACTGAATCAAACAGCACAGTAAAACCGACAGGATTCTGTTCTTTGCAACACAAGAAAGTACAATCTAAATCATTATGAAAAGTTCAAGAGATAAAACCGAACCTTTTAATGGACAGCAGCTGAGGTTAGTAACAGATTTCCAAGCTTTTGCTTCAGGCAAATTTATAAATGCAGAACGAACAAAGGAGGAAACCCAAGAAAACAAAGCAGGCCTAAAACAAAGCCCTGAGGGACGCCATTGCTACAATGAAGGAACAAGGGCAGTGAATGTCTGAAGCAAAACCTCAGAGGATCTGAATTCGCCATATGTTGAAGGAATGTAGAAACTCTTTCTCTGAAGGTCACAACAGCATTATAACTCATTGCTTGAGTATGCTAAACAAAACATATCATGTGCAATGTATGTGGAAGTTGATCCGAGAGATTTAAAAGCATCAGGTGAGGGATTAAGAGATTACAGACGTCTTCAATCAAGTTTTGTTTAAACAAGGGATGGTTCTATCACCGTAAGATAAACTGTGTGCGCTGATCCACAGCATAACTGCAGAAGCAAGTGCTGTTTTAATTCTCTTTTAATTAGGTTGACAGAATTAATCATTTATGCTTTGCTACATGTCCATAATGGCATTAGAGAGGAAGAGAGGATGGGAAGGAAGCAGTCCTTACTCTGTACACAGACACAGCATGGTTTTGTCTCCTGCAGCGCGGCCACTGAGTCACTCGCATACACACTATCAAACACACTATGATCACTGTAAGAGAGGGTTTGATTTGTGGCCACACACCAAGATGACAGCGAGCAAAGACAGCACCCAGCCATGAAAATAAGAGACAGGGCCAGCTGTTAGATGGCATACACACATACACACACTCACACAAGCACATAGTGATAGCCATCAGAATAAGAAGTGACCCTCACCAGGCTGCATAATGTCTTTCTTGCAAACATTCTTCAACTAGACATACCTTGGCAGCACTTTTCAGCTGATACATGGAGGGATCGTCTGCCGCTTTGCCCGCGGCACATTTAGTGGCACTAATCAGCTCGGCCAAAGCTTTAGCGACGTCTCGGACTGCGTTTATCAGAACCACCTGAACGAGATAAAGAGACAACTTTATCAGAACCACCTTTCGTCATGATATGCCACTGGCTTTATCCGGCACCATAATGCCTGGAACTCCTTCGGGAGGATGTAGTGGGAGTTTTTACCAGAATAATACAATGCACAATGATTTATTAATCCTCCACGGGTGGTTTCGATTTGATAGATGATACGTGTGAGTCAGTGTGTCTGCCACATTAGCATGATATTCAGGGTGTTGCTTAAAGATAAATTTAGTCCTGGTTAAAAATGTAGGAGAGACAGATTGGCATTGCCTACTGGACTTCTGATGTGAAAATTCTATGCGCACCTGTGTCTCCGGGTCTTCTGAGCCCATGCTTGCAGCTCCCAGTTTGACCACGTCAGTGAGCTGCGTGATGGTTTTGGCAGAGGACTGGGCCGCCTGGGCTAGTTTGTCCTGGCTCGACGCAGCACCAGACACGAGCAGCTTGGTGTCCTCAACCAAAGCTTTAGCAGTTTTCAATATGTTCTCTCTGGAGTGCACAAACAAATACGCTTCAGATAATATAACAGACAGTATACTCTGAGGCTAACGACGTGTTCTAACTACATGTGACGCGATGCGGACAATGGTTGCAGAATAACTACTGAGAGATTTCAGCTGCTGTCTGGGCTTTCCATGCCTGTCTACACCACCCTTTCTTCATATGTTCAATACCTTTTCGCTGCGTCATTTCATTTTATTACACATAACCCAATTTGTACAGTGCGTCCGGAAAGCATTCATAGCGCTTAAATCTTTCCACATTTTTTTATGTTACAGCCTTATTCCAAAATTTATTCAATTCATTTATTTTCTCAAAATTCTACACACAATAGCCCATAATGATAATGTGAAAATTGTTTTTGCAACTTGCAAATTTATTAAAAATCAATAACCTGAAAAATCACATGTACATCAATATTCACAGCCTTTGCCGTGAAGCTCTAAATTGAGCTCAGGTACATTCTGTTTCCACTGACCATCCTTGAGATGTTTCAGCAGCTTCGTTGGAGTTCACCTGTGGTCAATTCAGTAGATTGGACATGATTTGAAAAGGCATACACCTGCCTATACAAGATCCCAGGGTTGACAGTGCATGTCAAAGCACAAACCAAGCATGAAGACAAAGGAATTGTCTGTAGACCTCTGAGACAGGATTGTCTCGAGGCACAAGACTAGGGAAAGTTACAGAATTTTTTTTTTCTGCTCTGAAAGTTCCAATGAGCACAGCGGTCTCCATCATCCTTAAGTGGAAGATGTTTGGAACCACCAGGACTCTTCCAAGAGCTGGCCGGCCGTTCAAGCTGAGTGATCAGTAACCCGATCACTGTCTGAGCTCCTGTGTTCTTCTTACAGAAGAACAACTATCTGTGCAGCAATCCACCAATCAGGCCTGTATGGTAGAGTGGCCACACGAAAGCCACAACCCGCCTGGAATTTGCCAAAAGGCATCTGAAGGACTCTCAGACCATAAGAAACTAAATTCTCTGGACTTATGAGACTAAAATTGAACTCTTTGGAGTGAATGCCAGGCGTTACATTTGGAGAAAACCAGGCACCGCTCATCACCAGGCTAATACCATACCTACAGTAAAGCATGGTGGTGGCCGCATCATGCTGTGGGGATGTTTTCCAGCAGCAGGAACTGGAAGACCAGTCAGGATAGAGGGAAAGATGAATGCAGCAATGTACAGAGACATCCTGAATGAAAACCTGCTTGAGAGTGCTCTTGACCTCAGACTGGGGTGACGGTTCATCTTCCAGCAGGACAATGACCCAAAGCACACCGCCAAAATATCAATGGAGTGGATTCACAACAACTCAGTGAGTGCCCTTGAGTGGCCCAGCCAGAGCAACGATCTAAATCCTATTGAACATCTCTGGAGAGATCTGAAAATGGCTGTACACCGTCGCTTCCCATCCAACCTGATAGAGCTTGGGAGGTACTGCAAAGAGGAACGGGCAGGAATTCCCAAAGACAGGTGTGCCAAGCTTGTGGCATCATATTCAAAAAGACTTGAGGCTGTATCGCTGCCAAATGTGCGTCAACAAAGTATTGAGCAAAGGCTGTGAATACTGATGTACAGGTGATTTTACATTTTTTTATTTATTTATTTTTTATAAATTTGCAACAATTAAAAAACAAAATACATTTTTCACATGTCATTATGGGGTATTGTGTGAGGAATTCTGAGAAAATAAATCAGTTGAATCCATTTTGGAATAAGGCTGAAACATAAACAAATGTGGAAAAAGTGAAGAGTTATGAATACTTTCTGGATGCACTGTATTGCTAAGCTATTGTGGATGTTTGCCATGTTATTACCATTAAAACAGGGGTATAGCTATACTTTTACGCAAGATTTGTGGTTAATGAGGTTGATGACCGGTGTTTTTTGTCTTCAGCCAAAGCTTAAGTGGTTTTCAATGTGTTCACAATGAAAACTTCACTACAAACCCAAGTTCATTAAAAAAATAAACAGAACACATAATGAAACATAATGCTGAACTGAGTCTCACCTGTGGTCTGCAAAAGACTCTTCGTTCTCTGCATTGAGAGTGCCGGCAGAGGCGAACATGATGGTGGTGTCCAGATCAGCGATGATCCCCGAGACGGAACTGGCTGCTGTTATGCAGGCCTGAGTTCCTTTATTACCAGCCTGCAGGGCTGATAACACCATAGACACCTGCAGGACAGAGCGATCGCACTTCATTAGGAACTCCACAGGCAGAGTTCGGACAGCTTTCCAAGCCTGTAAAACGTTTCTTGGGTTGCTTTCCAAATCATTTAAATAAATATGAATATACAGTTGAAGTCAAGAATATTAGCCCTCCTTTATTTTTAAAATATTTTCCAAATGATGTTTAACAGAGCAAGGAATCTTTCACAATACTTCTGATGATATTTTTGCTTCTGGAGAAAGTCTTGTTTGTTTTATTTCGGCTAGAATAAAAGCAGTTTTTAATTTTTAAAACCATTTTAAGGTCAATATTATTAAGCCATATTTTTATTTATTTATGAAAAAATTCAATTATGACTACACAAAACTTTATATATAATAATAATAATAATTCCTTACATTTATATAGCGCTTTTCTGGGCACTCAAAGTGCTTTACACAATGGGGGGTTTACACAATCTCCTCATCCACCACCAGTGTGCAGCATCCACCTGGGTGACGCAACGGCAGCCGTTTTGCGCCAGGCCGCACACCACACACCAGCTGATTGGTGGAGAGGAGACAGAGTGATAAAGCCAATTATTATATGGGGAGGGTTAGGGGGCCATGATGGACAGAGGCCAGTGGGCAGATTTGGCCAGGATGCCAAGGTGAAACCCCTACTCTTCTTCGATGGCATCCTGGGATTTTTATTGACCAAAGAGAATCGGGACCTCAGTTTAACGTATCATCCGAAAGACGACGCTCACTAAGCAATATAGAGTCTACGTCACTATACTGGGGCATTAGGACCCACACAGACAGCAGGTTGAGCGCCCCCTGCTGGTCTCACTAACACCACTCTGAAAAGAAAGCAATGCAAAATGAAGGAAAAGCAATGCAAACTGGTCTTAAATCTGTATCAACAACATAACTGCTCCTTCCCTCAACATTAGACAGACAGATGCTGAGAGATGGACTCTGACAAGCCAATGAAAGACAGACAAGTCCATTAAAGCAAGACCATTACACCTTTTAGAAAGAGAGAGAGAGAGTGATACAGAACAACTGATTTGAGTGGATGAAAACCCATAAGGGAGGCATTCAAATGCAACCTTCCCCATTCACTTTCAGTACAGAGATGATTTGAGGCAGAGCTGAGGTCTGAATTGAATAGGGGGAACTCGGACACATTAAAGCGGAGCTCATTTAAAGCAGTGAGAGGTCACAGCGGCACCACAGCAGGGACACGACAAACTCCTGCTATTGGGATGTATTCAAAGACGATACGACTGGGCGATGAATGAATCTACCATATACAGTCTCAACCGAGGGTTCCTGCATTACTTCCAGATACGGTCAAACTCAGGAACACAAAGAACAAGCAGTGCTTCATTTACACACTGTAGGACCATTAGAGACTTATTTTACATCTTGTAAAAAGAGGCTTAATAGGTCCCCTTACAAAAAAGTTCAGTAACACCTACAGACATGCATTTTTTAGCACCACAAATAAAAAGTTACACAGAAGCGTGAACAGACGAGCAATCCTACCTTTTCGGTGACGGCTCGAGCGCACTCGATTAGCTCTCTCTTGGTGAAACTATCAGTCGGGCTCATCTGCAGCGCTCCGGCCTTCTGCACCAGGTAGATACAGCCATGACCCAACTCCTGCACCCGGGTCTTGATCTGAGATCCCACCTGCGAATACAGTGGGGGAAATAAACAGAGTTCGGTGGGTCTCATTTAGGGCTGCTCGATTTTGGACAAAATCATAATCACGATTATTTTGGTCATAATTGTAAACATGATTATTCTAAACGATTATCAGTTGAAGTCAAAATTATTAGCGCTCCTGAGAATTTAGTTTTTTTTAAAATAACTATTTCCCAAATTATGTTAAACAGAGCAAGGAATTTTAACAGTATTTCCTCTAATATTTTTTTTCTTCTGGAGAAAGTCTTGTTTTATTTTAGCTAGCATAAAAGCAGATTTAATTATTTTGAAACCCATTTTAAGGGTCAATATTATTAGCCCCCTTAAGCGATATATTTTTTGATTGTCTGCAGAAGAAACTACTGTTACAAAATGACTTGTCTCATTACTCTAATTAAGCCTTTGAATTGCATTTTAATCTGAAGGCTTGTATTTTAAAAAACATCTAGTAAAATGTTATGTACTGTCATCATAGCAAAGATAAAACAAATCAGTAATTAGACATGATATATCAAAACTATTGTGTTCAGAATCAAGTTTAAAAAAAAAACTTCTTTCCATTAAACAGAAATTGGAGGAAAAGGGTTGCTAATATTCTGGAGGGCTAATAATTCTGACTTCAACTGTGTGTGTAGATATATATATATATATATATATATATATATATATATACATACAGTTATTTTCCACCCTGTAAAGGAAAGAGAAATAAATACAATAGAATAAAAATATAAAACAAACTGTGATTTAAGCATCTTCACCCTAGGAAAAACACTTTAGCTACAAAAACCCTTCAGTCAGGAGCAGTAAACGATGTTCTCGTCGTTTGATTAATGATAAAACAGGCGGCAGCATTTCGCACTGTCACTTTAATAATTTCTCTTTTAGGTGTCTTTTGATTCTCAACTCGTTTGTTTATTATGCAAATGAGGGTTAATATGATTGATCACTAATCACCGCGTTTTGACACCTATTTGACCATTAAAGCGCTCATGTTAAGATCACTTTAGATGTCTGCGCTCCTCTGCTCGTCTCAGTGTGCGAATGAGACCGAATGCTGACTGCATGCTTATGCGTGTGTTGCGCACACACACATAAACACGCGGTCTTTCGCGCTTTTGGTATATGATGCAATAATCGTTTATCTCGATTAATGGTTTTTCATAATCGTTAGAAGCCATAATCGAAATTGAAATCGGATTTTCGATTAATTGCACAGCCCTAGTCTCATTTATTAAATCTGATGTTAATGTTGTGTTCTCTATTGGATTCAAGTCAGGTGATTGGCTGGGCCATTCTGCAGCTTGATTTTCTTTCTCTGAAAGCATTTAAGTGTTTCCTTGGCTGTGTTTTGGATCATTGTCTTGCTGAAATGTCCACCCTGGTTTCATCTTCATCATCCTGCTAATGTAGATGTTGGACTGAAGCAGCTGATATTCATTTACACTGAAGAAGGGCAGGTGCTGAAGAACTACTGAGAGATTTCAGCTGCTGTCTGGGCGTTCACTGCCTTTCTACACCTCCCTTTCTTCATGTGTTCAATAATTTTTCCCTGCATTATTTCATTTTATCCCACATAACTTCAGTTGTAAACTAAATCCTTTTGTTTCCTTTTCATATATGGATTTCATTGGTTGTAACCAACATCTGGTGAAAAAGTCAAGTCACCAGCAGCTTTAGAAATATGTTTTTGGAGAAAAATCGCTTTGGAAAAAATGATTTCCCCCTCTGTACATCCCAAATCTGAATTTAGATCTGAACGTACAGTCTGAAAGCCACTGCCTCCGTTCAGCAAAGCTCTATATCCAGTAATTAAGAAGTGATTGTGAGGGCCCGACAGCTCTGTACGTTCATTACCTGACACACGGATCTGCGGGTGGGCGGCTTTTCATTATGAATATCACACAGGCTTTTAAGGCTTGTGGGGGAGCGTGGTTATTATGATAATGGCAGCGGGCGCTTATGTAAAACGCTAGCAGAGAGAGCTGGTGACTACTGGGGTTCGTGCTTTAAATGTGGAGAGAGCCAAAGTGTGAATTTGGTGTTTGCACCTTTGTTCGATGTTTTAAAGACGCACGGTGGGGATTTATAAGGTCTGTGTGTTTGTATGGAAAAGTTACATGTGTTTGCACAACATAAAGTGATGTGAATAGGTTTAATATAGGTTTATATAGGTTTATATATATATACTCCAAAAAATATATATATATACTTGAAAAACAAGTTCTATGAAGGTCAATGGTTACAGGTTTTCAGCATTCTTTAGAAAATCTTTCAACTCTGGATTGGGGAACAATGAGATTTTCAGAGAATACCGACACAGATTTTGATTACTTGAGTCACAATCATCAGGAATCTAGCCTGTGCAGATCGCTGAAAAACTTTAATGAACTACAACTCCCACAATTTACCTCAGACACACCAGTTTCTGCATGCATGTCTGCCTGTCGCCTCCTAATAAACTGCATTTGGATCCTCAACTTCATTGTAACCCCAAATCAATACAATTTGCTCTCACATAACTACTAAAATGACTTTAGACGACTTGAAATATAGTATGTTGGATTTAATTTAAAATGGATTTTAATAGTTAATTAAGTGTAAAATCTCAGTAACACTAAAGCAAATTTGCTATTTCAGATAAACATAAATGTTAACTGAAATCCCAAATGAAGAATAGAATAAAATAATATTTCAGCTAGTCATAGTCTTGTTGTTTTTAAAATTTTAATTTTAGTTTATTTTAAAACTATAACTAAAACAGCTATAAGCATATTTTTAAACTAAAATAAATAAAAAAAACTACCATATATTTATATTATTTGTTCAGGTATAGTTGTTATATTGTCTTAATTTTAATATTAAACAAAAAAAAAAAGATTTTATTGTATAATAATAATAATAATAATAATAATAATAAATATTATTAGTATTAATAGTTTTCCTCCTTACCTCCTCCAGCTCAGCGGTGGCAGCTGCCAGTCGGCCTTGTTGTGCCAGCTGACTGTAATCCACGGTCACCTGAGACGCCAGGCCACCCAGCTCCTCCGGGCACGTCACAGACTTTGTCATCTGGTGTCACAGAACACACCATAAGAACGGTCAATTACAAGCATCCATCCATCCATCCATCCATCCATCCATATATTTATAGTAAATATTAATATGCAAATATATTGTTTATGTATACAAGTATAATATATATATATATATATATATATATATATATATATATATATATATATATATATATATATATATATATATATATATATATATATATATATATATATATATATA